GCTGAGGAGGCCGGTCTTGAGATGAAGGATCACGTTGAGACCGGTGGGTCTGCCGTGATCTGAGGACTACGGCGCCGATGAAGTCGCTCCTCGTATGAAGGCGAGGGTCGTCATCCAGGAAGGGAATGGCGAGCCCGCTCGCAAGCTCAAGACGCTCGGCGCTGAGGAGGCCGGTCTTGAGATGAAGGATCACGTTGAGACTGGGGGGGTCTGCCGTGATCTGAGGACGACAGCGCTGATGAAGCCGCTCCTCGTATGAAGGCGAGGGTCTCCATCCAGGAAGGGAATGGCGAGCTGCTCGCTAGCTCAAGACGCTCGGCGCTGAGGAGGTCGGTGTTGAGATGAAGGATCACGTTGAGACCGAGGGGTCTGCCGTGATTTGAGGACGACGGCGCCGATGAAGCCGCTCCTCATATGAAGGCGAGGGTCGTCATCCAGGAAGGGAATGGCGAGCCCGCTCGCAAGCTCAAGACGCTCGGCGCTGAGGAGGTCGGTCTTGAGATGAAGGATCACGTTGAGACCGGGGGGTCTCCCGTGATCTGAGGACGACGGCGCCGATGAAGCCGCTCCTCGTATGAAGGCGAGGGTCGTCATCCAGGAAGGGAATGGCGAGCCCGCTCGCAAGCTCAAGACGCTCGACGCTGAGGAGGCTGGTCTTGAGATGAAGGATCACGTAGACCGGGGGGTCTGCCGTGATCTGAGGACGACGGCGCTGATGAAGCCGCTCCTCGTATGAAGGCGAGGGTCGTCATCCAGGAAGGGAATGGCGAGCCCGCTCGCAAGCTCAAGACGCTCGGCGCTGAGGAGGCCGGTCTTGAGATGAAGGATCACGTTGAGACCGGGGGGTCTGCCGTGATCTGAGGACGACGGCGCTGATGAAGCCGCTCCTCGTATAGAGGCGAGGGTCGCCGTCCAGGAAGGGAACGGCGAGCCCGCTCGCTGGCTCAAGACGCTCGGCGCTGAGGAGGCCGGTCTTGAGATGAAGGATCACGTTGAGACCGGGGCATGGCCGATGAGGGCATGGCCGACGAGGGGATGGCCGATGAGGGCATGGCCGACGAGGTCACCTGATTCTCCTGACTTCTGGATCATATTTTGGGTGGCCTTCTTTCTGGCCGATGAGGGCATGGCCGATGAGAGCATGGCCGATGAGAGCATGGCCGACGAGGTCACTCGGTGATCGTGGTACCTTCTGTTCTTCTGAGTATGTGGGTCCTGGGGCCTAGACCCATATACTCCATCAATGATATAGTAGAAATTTGGGAAGTTGCAAATGTTATGATCATGTAAAGTACTATGGAAAGATAATAGCATGTAAGCAATTGAGGAATATTGGAAGGAAAGACAACGTGAGGGTAACTAATAGATAGTCTAAGACGAAACAAATTTAATTTAGATTTTATTCCACAATCATTTCATTTGTCTGAAAACTTGAATGAGATGTCGTAGTATTTCACTATTTCATTGTCCCTTGCATTTCGCATTTTCATGGATCAAGTATACCCATAACTATAAACCAGAGATACATCGCAAAGCATAGCTTTTAATCCTTATGGGGATACGCTAACCAAAAAGGTTGATAAAGATTAGTCCATATGCATATTTTTAAATAAAAAGAGGCCAAGAAAAAATATATAACACCTGAGAAGAGATTGATTTGCTTAAATATAAGTGTCATAATCACTCTAGAACTTGAACAAGGAGTTTGATGGAATTGGTATTTCTAGGAAATATGATGCCCAACGAGTTCGTACTTCATCAATGACTTCATACATGAATAGTTCTGGATCGGCGAATCGCAACAAATTAAATAAAAAATTTCTTAAATAAAATTATATGGAGCAAATCCTATTGAATGTAAATAAAATAATATTGTACCTCATCCCACAGTTCAAGAATTATCACCGAAACAATATTGAACGTATGCAGCATCACTCAATAGCCACATTCATAACTCCCAAATCATCATGGCTGGTAATGACAATAAAGAACATTAATCAAGTAGACACAAAGGTAGAGTTGTTAGTTCATCACAAATGTAGGATGTCAGGAATTTAAATAAGATTAATAAGATTGTCATGTAACTTACAACTACACCAGAGTTTTTTTTATATATAAAATCATATTTATCCTAAAAAGTATGGTAACAAGTAAATCAGTAATAAGAAGCAACATAAAGCGGTTTCTAAAATAGATGGCTGCTTAACTAGGATAAAATTAGCACAATGCCTCAATTATTCAAGAACCTTACTCTTGTGGATTTTCTGGGAGAATGATCTTCTAGAAGAGAATCATTAGTTTGTAAAGTACTGGACTCACCATTACTAGCATAATCATGCATATTTATAGTATTGAGTTCATCATTAATTTGATTTTCTAAATAATTTTGTGGATAGGAAGAAGGAATGTTATAGTTATAAGAAATATCATTATTATAAGGATCATTATGAATATTACTAGTAGAATCAGTATGGTTAGTATTAGAAGAAATAGTATTATTTTTATAAGGAAAGACCATTTCATAAAATTTGACATTTCTTGAAATGAAAAAATTGTGATTATTAATATCATATAGTTTATAGGCTTTAGATCCTAAAGGATAATCAATAAAAACACATTTTATAGCTCTTGTATCAAATTTTGATCTATTGGCAGTTAAGGTGGAAGCATAAGCAAGGTAACCAAAAACTCTTAAATGAGAATAATCAGGAGGTTTGTTGTATAATAGCTCATAAGGAGACTTAGTATTAAGAATTGCAGTAGGAATTCTATTAATAATGTGCACAACAGTACGAATGCAATCAGTCCAAAACATAAGAGGTAAACAAGATTGAAAAAGAAGAGATCTAACAACTTGAAGAATGTGTTGATGTTTCCTTTTAACCCTAGCATTTTGTTGAGGAGTTTCAACACATGAAAGTTGATGAATAATAGCATTTGAGGTATAAAAGAAGGAAATATAAATTCAGTACCATTATCGGTTCTAATTACCTTAATTTTGGCATGAAATTGAGTATATATGAGATTATAGAAAGTCATCATATGAAATTTAACTTCAGATTTAGTTTTCATGAGAAAAACCCAAGTACATCTAGTGTAATCATCAACAACAGTTAAAAAATATTTAAAACCAGAATAAGATTGAACTTTTAAAGCCCGCCAAACATGCATATGAACAAGATCAAAGGCATTAGAAGCATGAGAAATACTATCAGAAAAGGGTAAGCGTTTCTATTTAGCAAAGTGACATGTGTCACAAGAAGTAGTTTTATTCATATGATGTGCAACATTACAATCAACAAGAAATTTCAGTTTGTTAAAAGGTAAATGATTAAATCTATAGTGCCAAACATCAGATTTGTGATCTAAACATTTAGTATTGGCAGTATTGATAACAGAAGATTGTTTGTTGCAAAAAGAAGAATTAACAAGATTGTAGAGGTAAAGACCATTTTGGAGATCAGCATAGTCAATCATTTGGTTGGTGAGCAGATCCTGCAAAGTAGCATGATTAGAAGAAAAATGAACAGATACATGTAATACTAATCTAGAAATAAAGATAAGATTAAATTAAATTGAGGAACATATAAGACATTATGAAGAGTAAGAGTAGAATTGAGTTTAATGTCACCAATATGAGTGGCAGTTATAAAAGAACCAGTAGGTAATTGAACATTTATAGAAATAGATTTGGGAGATGAAGTTAACAAACTAAAATTATGAGTCATATGATCAGAAGCACCGGTGTCAAGAATCCAGATAGAGGATTTGACACTGGATAAAAAACAGAATGATTACCTATCATAGAAGTATCACCGGTACCCGGAGATTGTTCATGAATAGGAATGGCCATGGTAACATGAGCAGTAGCAGATGGATCATTATGAGTTTTCATAAACTCCAAGAATGTATTGTATAGGGAGGGATCACAAAGGTCCATCTCAGAAGAAGAAGACTCAGTAGAGATGTTGGCTAGATTGGCATGAGTGTTCTTGGTAGATGTAGGTGGCAGTTTCAAGCCAGGAGCAGTTCTTAGTCCTTTAAGTCCTTTGCAAGTAGGAGGATACCCAATCACTTGGAAACATTTATCAGCAGAATGACCAGTGTATCCACAGTGGGAACAAATAATAGAGGATTTCTTTTTGTAGGTAGAATTTTTAACCAAGAAGGCAGTAGAGTCAACATTGGAAGAATCGGAATTGATTGTGTTATCAGAAAGCAGAGGAACAGAATGAACAAGGTTTTGAAGAATTCTTTGAGACTCTTCTTGAAGAAAGAAAGAGTAGACAGCAGAAAGACTAGGAAAAGGAGTCTGGAGAAGAATTTGACTTCTCAGATTAGAATAAGAATCATTTAATCCAACAAGAAACTTTTGAACAGATTCTTTGTCAAGTAATTGTTTATATTTTTCGTGAATTTTACAAGTACAGAGACCACAAGAACAAGGTGGAAGAGCTTTGAAATCAACATATTCATCCCAAATTCCTTTGAAAGTATTGTAATAAGCAATAACATTTTGAGTTTCCTGAGATATGTTGCCTGGGGTTTTTTCAAGATAAAAGACTCTAGGACCATCACTTTTTCCATATCTAAGTTGTATTTCATCCCAAAGATCTTTAGCGGAAGTGAAATACAAAAAAGTAGAACGAATTTCAGGGGCTATAGAATATATAAGCCAAGATAGAAGTAAAGCATTTATACGATGCCAAACAGCATATGTGGAAGATTCTTCTGGACTTGGTTGCTTGATAGAGCCACCCAGAAAGGCCATTTTGTTTTTTCACGGTGAACACCATAGTCACCGACTTTTTCCAAGCATTGAAGTTGTCTTCAGTTAACGTCTCATATATGATGCGTAAAACGGCATGATCACTTGGGTGTAGGTTACAACGGTGAAGAAGGATCCTCAGTTGGATGCATAGGAAAACAAATCGATGAATTCATCGCAAAAAAATTAGGGTTTGATGACGAATGAATCAATCGGGAAAAGACAAAATTCGATTACAGAAATCGAAATTGAAGATGGTGTAGAATAGTGAAGAAAGATCAGAAGCCTAGTCTGATACCATGTGAAAGTTTGAGCTCAAGAATCAAACAAGAAGAAGAAGAAATCGTATATTCAGAGTAGGTTTGCGGAAGAAGAAAGAAGGCAAATGTTCAAATACCTAATTTACAAATATTCAATCTAATTTATACTCCGTACTTGATACAAATGAGCGTGTTACTATATAAACAATAAGCCCATAAAGGAAAGAAGTCCAATTAGGAAATAATATCTACAGCCCATAAGATTTATTCTTGATATCTAATACTCCCTCCGTCCTCTTATAATTGTCCCATTTTTCCATTGTGGGATATCCCACTATTATTGTCACATACGGACAATAATTGATTATATTTGTGTGACTCTAATTCATTTTGATTACATTTGTGTGACTCTAATTCATTTTTACTTTATTCTCACTTTATCAAATTATTTGTCAAATTGAGTATAGAGTAGAAAGTACAAATTAATATTTATTACAAAATCAAAATAAAAGAAGTAATAAATCATAATTGCTGAAGCAAAAACCTATGCAAAGCACCACACCAAAAACATTTTTATCTTACTTTTCTAGGACCGAAAATAATACGAACACTTTTCTATATGCAAATGTAAGGCTTAGCAATATGATGCAGATGACAACTCTCCACATCTTTATAATTGATGATAGTAGCAATTAATAAATAAATAAAAACACACTGACATACACACAGCTGTCCCTCACGAACTGATGACAAAATAACCCAAGTACATTCCCAATAATACCCTCAGGATCCAACCGCCGACAATAACAGAGCCCCCATTCTTGTCGCTGGCCGTATCATCCGCCGCGTCATCGTCGTCCGAGCTCGGCCCCGGCGAGTCTGCCCCGTCCTCACCGGCACCGGGTTTGCTTGCGCCGGCGCTCTTCTTCTTCTTCGCCGCCGCCTTGGGTGCCGGAGCTTCCGCAACCGCCTTGAAAAGCTTCCTCGGCTGCAAAACTTTGTCCAATTTGAACACGGCCAACGGCTCCTCGTCATACATGGTCCCGGTGACCGTCGCAACCACCACATCGGTGTTCAGCTTCACGGTGTCGCCGTCATTCTTGACGGTGAAATCGTACTTATTGGACCCTTCAGTGGCCAGTGTGTTCATAACCCCATTGCTGGATTTCAGCATCTCCAGAGAGTGGTAGATCGGGACGCCATGGTAATACAGCAGCCATTGCTTATGCTCTTTCGTCAGATTCCTGTATTTGGGCATGAAAGCTTGGACCGCTTTGTCCTCCGGGCAGAACACCGTTAACCCGGCCGGAGCACTTGAGGAAAAAGATTCATCAATTCCGGCGCTCTTCAACAGATCCAAGAACGCCTTACACCCCTGTTTCCCCAGTATGTTCGTTACATTCACTTCGGAAGGTCCGACGGCGGGGGCCTCCGCCGCGTCGGAGATAATCGGGTTGGAGATCTGGAGGACGGAGATCTTGTACGGGTCATCGGCGATGGATTTGACGTAGGTGGAGGTGAAATGCCCGCCGTTGTCCTCCTGCGCGAACCCCACTTTTCCGCCCTTCAGGGTGGTGATGTTGACGAATCCGGCGGTGCCAGGGGCGTCGCCGGTGGCCTGATAGATGGTGGCGGTGAGGGTGGTCCCCTTGTTGAGCTGGTGGAGCTGCTTAGGCCCGAAGTAGTCGGCGAAGACGTGGAGGGAGAGGATGTTCTTGATGGTGGGGAGGGAGAAGTGCTTGTCGAGGAGAGAGTTCATGCCGGCGTTGTCGACGGCGCAGACGGTGATGGTCATGCGGTGGTTGATCTCACCCGCGAGGTGGGTCACGGTGAGGTAGTGGTTGAAGGTAGAGAACTCGGGGTGTTTGGCGAGGATTTGAGTAATGTTGAAGGCATTGGCGGCAGAGGAGAGGAGGAAGACGGCGAGGATGAATAGTGAAAACGGTGCCGACAGAAGCCTCATTTTTGGGTGTCAATCTGAGAGAGTGATGGGGTTAGAGAGAGTAGAGAAGCCAGCTAAGATTTCGAGGTTTTATACTAAATGCAAGAGCAATTATGTAGCATTAACCAACCGACTACGAGTCAATTAAAAGTTACAATCATTTAATTTCATCTCTCACTTCTTTTTCGGTCTTTCCCATAATGTTGTACTACCTCCGGATGGTTCCATTTTACTCCCCCGTCCCCTTTTAAATGTCTCATTTTATTATATTGGGATATCCCTATTTAATTGTCTCATATCTTATTTGTAAAATTTGCGTGACTCAAAATCATTCTTACTTTATTCTTACTTTATCTATTAATATCAACCACACAAACGAGTTTTCTTAAAACTCGTGCCACCCTCTTCCGGGACATTTAAAAGGGGACGGAGGGAGTACCTTATCAGTCTGTCTTACTAAGATTATGTCATATCAAATTTGGTAAAATTTGTGTGCCTCTAAATCATTCTTACTTTATTCTTACTTTATCAATTCAATATCAATCACATAAACCATTTTTTATTAATTTGCATGTCACTCTCTTGTCTCATTATTAGCGGGACAGAGGGAGTAATATATTTCATCCCTCACAAAAAGCAATTTATCTACATATTTATGTACCATAAAGTTTATTTAACTCTCCAAATATACCTGATAGAGTATATAGGCTCAAGCCTACAATTCACATATTCTAGGATACATAAGCGGCCCAAACTCATCTAACCACACCCCTCATCTCGCCCCCTCATCCAAATGAGGGCACAAGCCGAAAAGAGCAGCCAAAGCCAAGCTAGACTACACAGAACATCGGATCAAGGCTGCTGACCATACTGTCACTCGGCTAGTGACACCTCACCCAGGACATATATCCCGGACAATCACTCATAGGCTAGAGAACATCTAGGACGAGGCGCACACACACCTCACCCTACGTCACCTCGGAAAATAGAAGACATCTACTCAAATAGACGGTCAGGGAATGACACACGTCGCTCTTTGCAACGTCATAGGGCTCTCGCCAATAAAATAGCTTACACGTGTACATGCATTTAATGCACGACTGATTTATTACTAGTATAAAAACTCACTTGGGGCTAATGTAAACGGTTGGAATTCATTAATATTAGATTATTTTCTCTCTCTAACTTGTAGTTCTCTCTTTTCTCTACGATACCATTAGAAGTTTACTAATGAGCTATCAAGGGCTTGTGGTGAATTTTGGGAGACCAGAATTAATTGGACGAAGTCCGGATCACCTAGTGTTGTAAGAACAAAAAAGATCCTGATAAAGAAAGTTATATATGCATGATTTTGATTAATCAATCGATTCAAAAAGTAATTGACAATTTAGACATAGGAATAACTAAAAGTAGAGTAAAGTTTTGTTTGTGAAAATCATTAGAACTTCAAAATTTGCACAAATGCGCACAACCCAATTCATGTTACGTACTTGTTTTCATGTGTTTTGATTCCCATATCTGCTCTATTGTGCTTTACGTACACTGCATGCTAGCAGAACAACGACAACTGTAAAATATCAAACCCATAAAGATACCATGCATTAACCATAATTCACTTCGTAGTTGAGTAATACGGAGTAGTAAAAAAGAAAAGCTGTACTTGATCGAGACCATGTGCAATTATATTGTTGAAGTATTTGTCTCACACCCAAAGTTGTAAAATAATATTTTCTCTGTTCCAATTTGTAAGATATTTTACGGTTTACGATGTTTGACCGACGATAAAGTAAATGGATTCATGTCAACACTCAAATTAGTTTTAGAAAATAAAATTTACATGTTCAGAAACTGCATTAAAACTGCTACAAAACCTGCTAAAAATTATTCAAATGTCAAAAACTTTTGATATATAAAGTAAAAGATTAAGAATGATCTATGTTGACCAAGTGAATAGTAAATGTATCTTACAATTTGGGACTGAGGGAGTAAAACACTGTATAAGGTTTTGGGTTACTCCTCCTATGAGGTTGACCTTTTAGATGGAACTCCGGGCCTTAACATGGTATCAGAGTCAATTGCGATTATGGTTTGACTGCTTCTTTAGCACATATAATTACGGGTAGCTTGTTAAGGGTCTGTTTGACCCATTTATATGCTCCAATATTGTCCAGCCCGGTTCGAGTTGAGGGGGCGTGTTGAAATATTTGTCTCACACCGAAAAGTTATAAAATAATAAACACTATATAAGGCTTTAGGCTACTCCTCCTATCACGTTGACACTTTAGGATAGAACTATGTGCCTTAACATATACTATGTGAAGATTAAAGAATACGTTTGTGGTTTAAACTTAAAAAAGCACTTTTTAATCTACTTTTTTCATTTATAAGCTAGGATTTGGGGGATTATTTATATTAAGAGTGAAAATGTAACATCAAGTCTTGTTTATGGAATATAATAACATGGAGTCTTGTTTATTTGTATTAAGAATAAAAATGTAACATGGGGCGTTTAAAAAATTTCTTTATGGGTTGTTTAAAAATTTTGACGATATTTTATTCCTATTTATGGTATTTTCTTTTTATTTTTTAAGATCAAACTCTTTTTATTGTACTTTTTATTTTTTTTGATGTTATTAAGAAAAATATTTGTTTATTACGTATATTTTTCTATCTTGGTGATGAGTGGTGGGCTAACATGACCCCCTAAAATTGTTTAGTGACTCAACATGATTGAATTGGACGTCAAACTTAATAACACTATTTCAATGCTTTATTTTACGATAGTCCGTAAAAATTTTCAGTACAAATGACTTAATCCCTCCGGTTCCGAATGAAATTCACACTTTGACTTCACACAAATTAAGGAAATAAATTTGACTTTACTGTAGAGTACACTGTTTGTAACACTGTTTGACACTGTTTTGTACTGTTTTGATGTAGATAATTTGTCAAATAAGGAAGGAAGAATAAGTGTGAAGTTTATTTTTGACCTACCCAAAAAGGAAAGTGTGAATTTCATTTGGAACCGGAGGGAGTATAAGTTAATAACCATAGTGAAAATATTACATTTGCCTGCTAGGTTTACGAGTATTAATGAAATAGAGATCAATTACTTATAATGAATTTCAAAGAATCACAAGAATTTTTTATTACTCTTTATTTACAAGATAAAATCAAAGAATGACTATCTTTGACGTTTTCATTCCTTTTGTTGGTGATAAACGTTTTCACTCCTTAGCAATATGTAGATCCAAACATTATCTAGTAAAAACATACAAGAACATTAAAACGTGAATTAGAAATCAAAGAAATTGAAAATAAAGGCCAGGTCGGCGTGTGGGTAGTCAGGAGTATATTCGTAACTTGACGCCAATTCATGATTTTAATTTTTAAATGCTAATGGTAACCAATACAGTAATACGTAGTATAAATTAGTAGTATCACACGCAATTAGGGTTGGACTCGGGTCGGGCCACCCGGCCTGTGGACCGGCCCAGTCTGCTACTGTGCGGGACCGGGACCAGCCCGGTTCTCGGGTCCGGGTCCGGGTCGGGCCTAGGCCCGGTGGGTAGTATGGGTCCGGGCTCGGGTCTCACATTTGGCGAACCGGCTCGGTCGGGTCGGGCCCGGGTCCGGGCCAATTTTTTTTTTTTTCATTTTTTGGGGTTCCACCCGGGTTGGATGGTTAGGAGGGGTTTGGTGGGGTTTGGGAGGGTGGGGGTGAGGGGGGGGGGGTAGGAAAATAAAAAAATACCCAAATCGAAGGCCCGGCCCGGCCCGGACCCGGATCAGACCCTGTGGCTACCCGGGCTGGTCCCGGGTCCACCATTACATATATATATGTATATATATATGTATATATATATGTATATATATATGTATATATATGTATATATATATGTATATATATATATATATATATATGTATATATATATATTATATGTAATTTGGTGTTATATGAAAGATAATAAAATTTTACGTTTTTTTATATACTCGTATGTTTTAATAAATTTTGAATGATGCACTGAATGAGTTGATTGGATTAAAATGAATAACAGTGATGCACCGAGTGAATAGCAGAGATACAATTTGGGAACATCAGTGATGCACTAAGTGAACTTAGATTAATTAAATGATTTAGTAGTGGTTATAATGAAATTTTTATTAACCAATATAAGACTCACACATCATTGATTCATACTTCTGTTTTATTATATAAAAATAATAATTTATTTATTTATATATATGCAATATTGGTTTAATATGAAAGATTACAAAACTTATGAATTTTGATACATTTCTTATAAAAATTGGAGTACAAAAAAAAAAAGAAAAAATCTACTCCCCTTTCTCTAAATAAGATGACGTGATTAATGTGAATCAATGATGCACCGAGTAAATAGCAGTGAAGCACCAAGTGAATTTGAATTAATTAAATGTTACAGTAGCAAATAACTACATTTCATTAACTAAATACATTATTGATTTATAACTACATTTTATTATATAAAATAATATATTTTTATTTTTATATATGCAATATTGATGGCATATGAAAGATCAATGAGTTTTGATATAATTTTCGTAAAGATTGGAGTACAAATAAAAAGTTATAGCACGTTAAAAGATATTTTCTACTTCACTTTCTCCAAATGAGTTGGCGTGATTAATATGAATAACACTTATGCACCGAGTGATCTTGGATTAATTAAATGTTTTAGTGGTGATGATTATAAATCTTTTATTAGCCAATAAGAGACTAACACCTCATTGATTTTTAACCCAAATGTATTGTATAAAATAATGTTTTTATTAACCAATATAAGACTCACAATCATTGATTCATACTTCAGTTTTATTATATAAAAATAATAATTTTTTTATTTTTATATATGCAATATTGGTTTAATATGAAAGATTACAAAAACTTATGCATTTTGATACATTTCTTATAAAAATTGGAGTACAAAAAAATAAGAAAAAATCTACTCCCCTTTCTCTAAATAAGTTGACGTGATTAAAGTGAATCAATGATGCACCGAGTAAATACCAGTGAAGCACCAAGTGAACTTGAATTAGTTAAATGTTGCAGTAGCAGTGATAACAAAATTTATT